AAAAAAAAAAAAGCCTACAAACACACACATTCCTCGAGCTGGTGGACCAAAATCTTATTCGCACCTAAATTTGACGAGGCAAAGGAAGTCTGGAGAGAGAGAGAGAGACGCTGCCTTTTGAGAGAGGTTAAATTAAACTGACCGGTCAGTCACCTACTGTTTACTTTGCCTGCCACAGTGCCACCACCACCATTCATTTTACCTTTTTGCCCCTTACCCCCCAATAAGTCCAATTACTTTACCCTTTTCAGCTTTGACCCCCCAAATTTCTCCTCTCTCTTTATATACCTTTCTCTCTCCTCACCCCCAATTTTCACCCCTTTTTCTCACTCTCCTCCTCCATGGACACGCAGTTAATCGCCTCCTAAAAATCAAATTACTCCGACGACGGCAGCCATGGCCGTTGATCTCATGATGAACTGCAGAAACACCAGCAGCTTCACCATCCCTCCCCCGCCGCCGGAGGAGAAAGCCGCCGCCGAGGAAGCAGCCTCCGGCCTCCAGAACGTCCAGGAGCTACTCCGCCTCTTCTCTCCCCAGCCGCCCCGCTCCCCCGACGGAGGATCCACCGCCGCCGACTACGCCGCCGTGGCCGGAGCAGCGGTGAGCAAGTTCGAGAGGGTCATCTCCCTCCTCGGCCGGACTCGGACCGGCCACGCCCGGTTCAGGCGGGCCCCGGCCGCCTCTTCCCCGAGCTCCGTGGTCCCCCGCAGAATTACAGAGCTGCCCCCGGCGGAGGGGGGCGGCTACGCCAGGGTCTACTGCCCGACACCGATCCAGCAGGTCCCGCCGCCGGACTACCGCCACCGCCAGCCGGGGTCTAAGGCGATCAGCTTCTCGTACACGCCGGCGATCTCCCGCGCCAACTCGTTCGTCTCGTCGCTAACCGGCGGTGACCCCGCCGGGAAGCCGCCGCTGTCTTCCTCATCATCGTTCAAGAGGAAGTGCGGTTCCGAGAGCGCCGGCGCCTCTGGAAAGTGCAGTGGGTCGTCCTCCAGCCGCTGCCACTGCTCCAAGAGAAGGTGAAACACACACACACACACACACACTTTCACTCGAGTACTCACACATATTACCTGCAATTTAAGGTTTGTTTGATTATTGTTAATTGCAGTACATTGAATGATTTTGTTAGGAAGCTGAGGTTGAAGAGGGTGGTTATGGTGCCGGCGATAAGCTCGAAGATGGCCGACATTCCACCGGACGACTACTCGTGGAGGAAGTACGGACAGAAGCCCATCAAAGGCTCCCCACATCCTAGGTAATTAATTGCATAATAATTCAACTACACAACTTTTTATTTCTTAATTATTCACTCTTTTGAGAATTATGAACTGAAAAGTTCATAGATTTGGATTGAATATTGATTGAATTGAGATTAAATTTACGGAAAAATTCTACGATCCCGTTACGTAAGCATTCTGTTGATCTAACATTTACAAATCCTGACGAAATGATACAGGACCGTAACATTTTCCTAAATTTACAACCTTTTGTTTTTCCACTAATTAGTTACTATGTTAAGATTAAAAGAAGTAAATCCTTCTAGCTTTAGCCAGATTTACACTCATTATCAAATGAAAAAAAAAAAAAAAAGTTGCTAAATTTACCCGAGTCAACATATATCACTTGAATATTCCTAACAAATAATAATGAAAAAAAAAAAGATTAGTCTAGTGCTAAATAGCTTGCTATAGGCTATATCATTAGACTTTTACTTCAATGATAATGCTTAGTTGCTAATCAAGGTAAAATAATTTTGACTGCTAAATCACTACACATGTTTCGTATCATGCGGCTCACAAAAAGTCAAATGCAAAAATTGAATAAATTAAATTCAATCAACTTTTACTTTTCACCAATCCATCATCAATTAGCCGTGTGATCAAATTATTGATATTATTATTATTATTATTATTATTAGGGGCTACTACAAGTGCAGCAGTGTGAGAGGCTGCCCGGCCCGAAAGCACGTGGAGAAGGCGGTCGATAACCCGAATATGCTCATCGTGACCTACGAAGGAGAACACAATCACGCTCGCTCTAATAATGCAGAAACTCCGAGCGCCATGAATATTCTAGAATCTTCCTAGGCCGATAAGTTTATCGTATTTGTTACGAGTTTACTTAATTAGGGTTATCGAGGACTCTGCTTAATCGTGTTTCCAGTTCTGATCTCGAAGGAGATGATGATGTTTGGTTGAGTTTGTTCTGTGTTCCTTCATCTGTACACAACATTGGATTTGCTGGGTTTTCTTTTTTTTTTTT